AATAAAGTGGTCGGGGCGGAGCGGGCGGTGCGACGCCGAAGGGCACTGGGCAGCTGGGGAGAGGGGGGGCGACGACGCCGAAATAAAGTGGTCGGGGCGGAGGAGGCGGTGCGACGCCGAAGCGCACTGGGCAGCTGGGGGGGTGTGGGGGGGGCGACGACGCCGAAATAAAATGGTCGGGGCGGAGGGGGCGGTGCGACGCCGAAGGGCACTGGGCAGCTGGGGAGAGGGGGGGCGACGACGCCGAAATAAAGTGGTCGGGGCGGAGGGGCGGTGCGACGCCGAAGCGCACTGGGCAGCTGGGGGGGGTGGGGGGGGCGACGACGCCGAAATAAAGTGGTCGGGGCGGAGGGGGCGGTGCGACGCCGAAGGGCACTGGGCAGCTGGGGAGGGGGGGGCTGGGGAACGACGACGCCGACGGGGGGCAGCTGGGGAGGGGGGGGGGCGAACGACGCCGAAATAAAGTGGTCGGGGCGGAGGGGGCGGTGCGACGCCGAGGGGCGCTGGGCAGCTGGGGGGGGGGGGGCGACGACGCCGAAATAAAGTGGTCGGGGCGGAGGGGCGGCGCGACGCCGAAGGGCACTGGGCAGCTGGGGAGGGGGGGGGCGACGACGACGCCGAAATAAAATGTCGGGGCGGAGGGGGCGGCGCGACGCCGAAGGCGCTGAGCAGGGGCGACGGACGCCGAAATAAAGTGGTCGGGGCGGAGGGGGCGGCGCGACGCCGACGGGCACTGGGCAGCTGGGGAGGGGGGGGGGGCGACGACGACGCCGAAATAAAGCGGTCGGGGCGGAGGGGGCGGTGCGACGCCGAAATGCGCTGAGCAGCCGGGGGGGGGGGGGCGACGACGCCGAAATAAAGTGGTCGGGGCGGACCAGCAGCGGCACCAGCACCACCGCCAGCACCACCACCAGCACCAGCACCAGCAGCGGCGCCAGCACCAGCACCAGCACCAGCACCAGCACCAGCACTGGGCAGCTGGGGAGGGGGGGGGGGCGACGACGCCGAAATAAAGTGGTCGGAGCTCTAGACACCCTGTGCAAGAGAATAATTTCTCCCTCTCGCACCCCGAGGCTGGTCGGGAGGGCGGGCCTGGCGTCTCGTCTCTAAGACTTCCTCACAACGTATGATCCTGATGCTGAACATGCGCAACGTTTTCATGGGTGGAGGACGAGCCGCTCTCAACACAAATTATAAAAAAAGTTGCAAATCAATTCTAAAAAGTTGCAGGGTTCTCACGGATTGAGGACACGTCGTTTTCAATATGTGGCTCTCGCCTTAGCGCCGCGAACATCCGTCTTAAACATTTGCAAGAGTTTCGTGAGTTGAGGAGGGGCCGTTTTCAAAATGTGACTCTCGCATTAGCGCCGCGCATGACCGTCTTCAAACATTGCATGGGCATCACGGATGGAAGGCTGGTCGACTCCAAAATGTGGTTCTCGCCTGAGCGCCGCGCACATCCGTCGCAATTTCTCGCAAGAAATGCACGACGAAATTCACGGATGGAGACCGGGTTGACTTCAAACTGCTACTCCCGCCTCAACGCTGCGCACATTCGTCATAAAAAAGCTTGCAAGAGTTGCAAGGATGGAGGGCGGGCCGACTTCAAGATGTGGTTCTCGCCACAGCGCCGCGCACATTCGTTTGAAGAGTTCACAGCAGTTTCAAAGCAATTGCCAAACAATTGTCAAACAATATGGCCTTTCCATTGACCCCATATTTGCTTAGGTGTAATATACGATTGCCGCTTATCCTGCGCGGCAAGGATGCTTTCCCCTGCTGAGCCGATGTGTCGTGCGACATGGCTTGCGAACGAATGAACGAACAGCAGTTTCAAGGATTCGAACGGTTAACGTCCCAGAACCGGTGCTTGGGCACGATGTCGGACTGTCGGGGCGCAGCAGTTGCTTTGATCCGCTGAGTTGAAATCCCAGGAATGGCGTCATGGCGGGACCCAGCATCGTCAGGACGCAACAATGACGGTGATTCGCGGCGTTGACATCCCAGGAGTGATGTACTGGCACAGCTTCAGATGTTCAAACGGCTGTTTTCCAACAGGGTGCTTCCTTCAGTGGAATGAATCCTCGTAGGAGCCTGCGATGAGGGAGCTTGGAGGGAGGGTGTATTGCAATATCGTAGATGAGTCTTGGGTTTACACTGGCCCTCCTCCTCCTCCTCCTCCTCCTCCTCCTCCTCCGCCTCATCAACCTTGCTCTCCCGATTCCCCCCTCTTCTTCCCCCCGCGGCTGCGAGAGCACACAGGCAGATGGCTTGGCCTAGCTTTGCTCCTCGTAATACGCTTCTTGGGCACCTCATGGGTCTTCAGGGGAACTCTTCGGGGCGCCTGGTCCCAACCTTTCCGAACACCTCGGGCTGTCACCTTCATCATGGGGGTGTTCTTCCAGGATCGGCGGCACACGCCACATGGCCTTCACGATCATGGAAAGCTAATCGGGGAGTCGCCAAAAGAACGGCACGGACAGACCGAGATGGATCGACCAATACGGGCACACGAGCGCCGCTGTCAAAATCGCAAACACTTGATTTACATAGCTACACCCGAGTGGCGAAGCTTCAGAGCATCTGCGCAAAAATGGGTCTCCAAAGCCTTCGTGACACGCCCCAAGTGGGCTCGGACAGATGGGCACGGACGGTGCCCAACAGCAAACGCTGTCCACAACTGGCAGCGAGCGGCCGCTGTTGGGCAGGCGACCCGGTGACTCAAATCTGCACCGTTCGCGGCGACACTGACAGCGCGCCCTCTTCAAAACTTACGCGAGCTGCTGTCGGTCCTTGTCCCCTCTTTCCGTACTGCGGGTGCGTGGCGTGCCGACGCCGCCGTTGGTTCCTGACACCGCGGGGACCGTTCAAACTTGAACGATCGGCCATTTCCGAAACGTCCGATGGTTCAACAACGACCGTTTCTGGGTCGCCGGCGGCGTTCAACTTTGAACGCCAGCGGCGGGGTCGCCGCCGGTCGACACGACGCGAACCTACCCATTCCGATCGCACCGACACCGCTGCGACGGAACCGCCAGGTAGGCGTTTATCTATCTTGGGTTTCGACACTTGGCCGAAGGGTGGGGGAGGGGGTCTGGGTGTGGCCAGGCGCTGAGTCGAACTGCTTCTGACAGTCGCGCTGGCAGATTGGGGGGAAGGGGTCCTGACCAGTCGCCAAAAGCAGCCGCCAAAAGCAACCGCCGTACCCATTCGGGGATCTACTAACGTGGGTCAATCCAAACCCCGGTCAGTCGGGCGTTGCAAAATCCTGCAAGATCCTGCGCCCTAAACCGGGTCAGTGCACCCCTGGCTCTGCAGGACCCTGCAAGATCCAGCGCCCTCGCTGACCCCGTTTGCATTGACCCCCATCCCTCCTCGGCCCATTCCGATCGCACCGACACGGGTGCGACGGAACCGCCAGCGGACGATCTCTTTCGAATCCCCGTCTCGGCTCCGTCGGCGGCGGACAGCCACCCAGCGGCTCAGAAGTCGTCGTCTGCGGCAGGCCTGCCGGGGCGGGCGAGGGCGAGGGCGAGGGCGCATCCAAGGAGGGAGGGGAGGCAAAAGGACGAGGGAGGAGGGGCTAGAACGGGGGAGTAGGAAAAACGGGTTCAGGCTCGTTTGTGCCCCCCGCGCTTTCCATGGAAAAACGGCACGGCCTCTTCCACCTCCGTTTCGCTCCTCCGTTCCTTCCATATTCTCCGCTTCCCTTCTTCTTCTTCTTCATGTTCCTCCTCCTCCTTAGGAGCAACAAAAACAAAGATGTGAAGAGAAAGGGGGGACTGAGGGGAAGACGACGACTTCTTCCAAAACGACTTCTTCCGAGACGACTTCTTCCAGAAGACCTTTGTTCTGGAAGAACTTGCAAAGAAGAGATTGTTCCCGAATAGACCATTTCCAGAGAGAAATCGAAATCGCCTGGATGAAATTCGCCAGAAGAAGTCGCGCGGAAAAAGTCCCCTCGGAAGAATAAGCCTTCGGAGGGAACCCTTGTCAGGATGCATCTGTGGATTCATTTGTCGAAGCAACTTTTTCGACAACAAAAAGGAAAGAGACGACGACGTGAACCGCCCAAAACAAGTCCCCCCAGAAGAAGTCGCCCCGGAAGAAATCGCACGGATGAAATCACCTTGGAAGAAATCGTCCCGGAAGAATTCGCCGCGGAAGATCTCCTATCGGAAGAATCGCCTGGATGAAGTCGTCTCGGGATTCGCCGCGGCATTGCCACGTGATGACTTGAGCGGAGGATACTTCTTGTTCGCTCCCCATGTCATTGCCACGTGGCGAGTGGAGTGGGATAGTATTTTTGTTTGCCCCGCAAGCTTTGCCACGTGGCATTGCCATGTGGCTGGCGAGTAGAATGGAGTAGCATGAAATCTCGGCCCGCTTCGTTGCCACGTGCTCAGGCTCTGCCACGTGGCAAGTACAGTGGGAAGTATGTGTTTTCCCCTCCGAGCGCTGCCACGTGGCAAGGCGTGGAACAATATCCGATTCGCTCCCCGAGGGGTGCCACGTGGCGCCCGTGCGAGCGGGCGCGCGCGCGGGCGGGCGGGCGGGCGCGCGGACGGGCGGGCGGGCGGGCGCGCGGACGGGCCATCATCATCATCATCATCATCATCATCATCATCATCATCATCATCATCATCATCATCATCATCATCATCATCATTATCATCAGCAGCAGCAGCAGCAGCAGCATCATTAGCATCATCAGCATCACCATCATCATCATCATCATCGTCATTGTCATCATCACCATAATCGTCAGCGTCGTCGTTATTGTCATTGTCATCATCATCGCTATTGTCGTCGTCGCCGTCGTCATCGTTTCCCGTCGTCGTCATCGTCATCCGTCGTCGTCGTTCTCGTCGTCGTCGTCGTTGCCTTCGTCCGCGTTGGATCCGCGTGTCAAGGAGATCTTGGCGTTCGCCTCCGCGGCGTTGCCGCGGAGGCGAATGCAACAGACGCGTGCGGCTTGGCAGCGTCGGGCGCAAACTTGTAGTGTCTCTTGTTCGCCGGCCTGCGTTGCCCCGTTGCGCGCGGAGTGGCGCTCTAGGTACTCCCGCCCCGAGGCGCTGCCACGCGGCGAATGCAATTGAATGCCAACGTTCGGCCCCCCTGAGATGCTGCCACGTGGCGGGTCGAGCGGCCTTGTATCTGTTCGGCCCGCGCGGCATTGCCACGTGATGACATGAGTGTTTGTGTTATACCCCTCGTTCGCTCTCCATGTCGTTGCCGCGTGGCGATTGAAGTGAGCCAGTATGTTTGTTGACGCGTGGCCTTGCCACGCGGCGAGCAGGGAGGGTAGCATCTGTTGCCGCCCAGCTCCGTTGCTACGCGCCGCATTATCAGATAATTGCGTTTCTCTCCGCAGGCGCTGCCACGTGGTGAGTACAGTGGAGTAGTAGACGTTCTCCCCTCCGAGCGCTGCCACGTGGCAGGGAGAGTGGAGCAGTATATGTTTCGCTCCCCCTGTGTTGCCACGTGGCGAATAGAGAGAACGAATGCGTTCTGCCTCGCAGGCGTTGCCACGTGGCGATTCGTGGAGTGGAGCAGGTTGTGCGTTCGCTCCCCAATCGCTTCTACCTGGCAGTTCGTGCGGAATGGTATTTTTGTCAGTCCCGCAGGCGTTGCCACGTCGCGAGGGGGAGTGGAGTAGCACATTTGTTCGCCCGAGGCGGTTGCCACGTGGCAAGTGCAGTGGATTAGTTTCGACTTCCGCCTCGCAGGCCTTGCCGCCTGCCGAATGGAGGGACGAGGGAGAAGGGAAGAGGAGGGAGGAACGAGGCGGGAGAGGGGGGGAGCAGGCAGGAGGCATGGAGGAGGGCGGAGGGAGCAGGAGGAGGTGAGAGGAGGGAGGGAGGAGGGAGGAGGCAGGAGGGAGAAGAAAGAGGAGGCAAGAGGCAGGAGGAGGAGGGAGGAGGGAGAAAGGAGGAGAGGAGGATAAGCTAGGAGGCCTGGGAGGAAACGCGAGGAGGTGGATACGACGCCGGCTGGCGGGCGCCGCGCTCCAGAGGGGGCGCCCAGCGTGCACGGGAGAAGGAGGCAGGGCCCCTGCCCGCCTCGGGATCTGTCAGCGACGCGCTCCCCCCGGCCAAGGGATCGCGGGGAGAGCGCGCCCAGATCCAAGAACAGGTGAACTGGGCATCGCTCGGACGTCCATTCCCTGTGCTTTTTTGGGCTTCGTGCGTGGTTTTTCTCGCCAAATGATCAAGGATGCTCCTCGATGGTCCTCGCCGAAGGAAAAATGCACACGTCCGAGCGATGCCAAGCAAGGGAAGGAAAAAGGACTGGGCGGAGGCGAAGCACGACTGCTCAAAACAGGCCTGCGGCATCACCCGAGACGGCGCTCTGCACCGTCCTCCAGGCCTTGCCCCCCCCCTCGCAGCGAGGGGAGTCCACCGAAGCCTCTCCCTGGGAGCGGAGGTGCGTGGCGTCACCTGGGGCGGCACGGCTCGTGCCATCCTCCAGGCCGTGCCTCCCGCGAAGCGCAGGAAGTTACCAAAGCCACTCCCTCGAGAGGCCAACCCATGGGGAGGAACGAGGAAGAGAGACGAAGGACGAACGAAGAGGGGAAAGGAAGGGGAAGGAATGCGAGCGGAATGACGAACGAAGAGGGGCGAGGTGGGGCTGGTCTGGACTGGAGTGTTGGGCTTCGCCCCTCTCGGTTTTTCGGGTTGGGGTTTCGTCGACGTTTCAGGTTCAGCCCGTGGGGTGATGTTCGGGTTTCGCTTCCTTTCCATGTTCGGGTTTCATGGTTGACTTTCGGTTTTCGCCTCGGGAAATTTCGGGTTTCGCCTTGCTACCGCGGCAACGGACTCCCCCTTCCCCCGGAGGAAGACGACGACCGCGAGGAGAGGAACCCCCTCTCTCCCCCGAAGTCGCAACATTAGAACTCACCGCTAGAGTGTCGGACAAACGCGGGCGTCTGGAAGAAATTCCCATAAGAAATCGCAGAGGAGAAGTCGCCTCGGAAGAAGTCGCCCGGAAAAAAACACCCCGAAGACGGTGCCTGAAGAAATCGCCCGAAGAAATCGCCTCGGAAAAAGATGCCCGGAAGAACTCAACCTGAAGAAAATGCCCGGACGAATACGTCCAGTGGAAGTCGCCTCGAAAGGAGTATTTCGGAAGAAATCATCCCGAAGAAATTGCCCAGAAGAAAATCATAAGTCGGATCCGCTGCCAAACGTTCCGACGAACTCTCATTATCAGACACTCACCAGAAAATGTCGGAATAATTATTCCAGAAGAACTCACCCTGAAGAAATCCGCCGACCCCTTGTGGGTCTCTAGGCGTGTGAGACTCTTCCCCCCCTATAACCCCCCCCAGGGACCCCAAACCGGGAATTTGACACCCCCCCGGGCCCGGCCCGAACGCGCCATGCCATGGGGGGAGAAAAGGGTCCCAAAACATGCCAAGAAGGTCCGAGAGGCCCCCCAGACGGTCCAAGAGGGCCACGAGTTGCCGAACGATCGCTCCAAGACGTCTGAGATAGCCTTTAGACGGCGCCAGAGGCCCCAAGAGGCCCCCAAAAACCAAAATCGTCCCATCCCCTTGGGAAAATGTTCACTTTTTAGCATAGTCGCCTCTTCGTCTTTCATAGCGTCCAAGACAGCCCAAGAAGCTTTCAATATCGCTCCCAGCTGGCCCACCAAGAGAGTTCCAAGAGCATCCAAAGATGGTCCAATAAGCCCCCGAGACAGCCCAACAGGGCCCCAGGACGGCCCCAAGAGGGGGCCCAGAGAGATGCTTTTCGAGCCCTCGGTCCCAAGCCGCCCCCAGGTTGCCCCAAATAACCTCCAAGAGGCCCCCAGAGGCTCCCAGGGAGCCCCGAGAAGGCCTGAAAAGGCACCCAAGAGGCCCTCAAGAGGCCTCAAAACTGCCTCCCAACCCGCCCAGGAAAGGCTCCCCGCGAGACCTCATCAACCATCCGATTGTCTTCCGATCCGCAACCCAGGCACGGTGGCGGGATGCACCGAAGGCCATTCGAAGGTCCGAGAGGCCCCCAAGACGGTCCAAGAGGGGCACGAGTCCCCGAAATATCGCTCCAAGACGCCCAAGATAGCCTTTAGACGGCGCCAGAGGCCCCCAAGACGTTCCAAGAGGCCCCCAAAGATGCGTCCCAACAGGGCCCCAAGAACCGAAAATCGTCCCACCCCCTCGGGAAAATGCGCATGTTTAGCATAGTCGCCTCTTCGCCTTTCATAGCGTCCAAGACGGCCCAAGAAGTCTTCAATATCGCTCCCAGCCGGCCCAAGGGGCCCCCAAGAGGGTTCCAAGAGCATCCCAAGATAGCCCAATAATTTCCCGAGACAGCCCAAGAAGGCCCCAGGACGGCCCCAAGAGGGGGCCCAGAGAGATGCTTTTCGAGCCCTCGGTCCCAAGCCGCCCCATAACCTCCAAGAGGTCCCCAGAGGCTCCCAAGGAGCTCCGAGGAGGCCCGAAAAGGCAGCCCAGAGGCCGTCAAGAGGCCTCAAAACTGCCTCCCAACCCGCCCAGGAAAGGC